AGGGTTTAGGGTTTAGGGCATATAATCAGACATGCGCACAATAAAGACCTCTTGCACAACACGCAGCACACTCCACTAGGGAAGCGAATAAGTATGGAAATAATAGAACAGGACTAGCCAGACGGCATATTTACCGGGCCCCCAGATCACCCATAGATCCCATAGATAGAACCACCCTCAACCCTAAACCCATCTAGAACCAGAGTGGAATCCCCAACAAAGCCGGTAGGGGCTGCCCAAGAGCAAACGCTAAATCGCTCAGGTTAAGACAAAACCTACGTATAAGGGCCTGACTAGGATTTCGGGGGATACTGTAAGTATCATGGACCCTCAGAAATGCCAATACTAATTTCTTCAACTCCTACGTTACATTACAACACCGATATAGCCTGCTTCGGTGGACTCCGGGGGCAGAGCAGCCTTGCAAGAGACAGTTTGAATTTTGCGGTCAGAGGGCTTCGGTTTAGGGTTTAGGGATACCCATAGGCCCCTAAGTAGTTCCTTTTTGTGGTTCGTATTTAGAATCCTATAAGGTAATCCCAAAAAGGAACTACCTAGGGGCCTATGGGTAGGTTGATTGGGATCTAAGCGCCTTACTTGTTAGACGAGGGTTCCGTTTGGAGGTTTTCATAAGGATCTCTTTAAGGGGTTCTAGGTATAACTTAGAGGCCTTGATAAATAGAATCGGGTTTTGGGGTAATTGTCCAAAACAGATAATGAGGAACCCTGCTTCTACATCAGGCGGCTGCATGTACTGCGCTCGACAACAAGGGTACAGAATCTTAACAAGCTTGTGAACTTCATTGATTTACTCAGGACCCTGTATTCCAGAACCCTGATAGATCCACGAAAGATCACCTGAGGACCAACTGCAGAACCCTTTGTGTCTTTGCTAAACCCACCATACTACATACGAGAACAAACAAATCGACCTAAAGATTCAAGAGCCTGTCACACCTAGAGCCTATAAAACCTGCCCTCTTAGGGTTCCTTGTATGAGTTCCTTCTATGCCTCATACAGACGAAAAGCCATGCAAACCGTTCTGTCCATGTTGGACCTCCGGACTTTCAAGCCTCAGGTTTAAGACCCCTCCCGCCCCTCCCGAATCCCTAAACCTTGCTAAACCCTAAACCCTCTGTAAACCTTAAACCCTACAACCCTAATCCCTAACCCCCACCTCCCTCACAAAACCCTAAACTCTATATAAACCGTAAACCATAAACCCTAATCCTAAACCCTAAACCCTAAACCCTAAACCCATAAACCCTAAACCCTAAAACCATAGTTAGGACCCCTTCCTCGGCCTCGCAACGCAGCGCCTCACGCGCCGCCGCCCCGTGGGGCGCGTAGCGGGCCAGAAGCCGTAGCCTCGACTCCCAAAGGGTTCTTATACGTGGTTTGGGGGTTTAGGGTGTAGGGTTTGGGGTTTGGGGTTTACGGTTTAGGGGTTTAGGGTCTTAGGGGTATATTATACCCATAGGCCCCTAAGTAGTTCCTTTTTCTGGTTTATATTTAGAATCCTATAAGGTAATCCCAAAAAGGAACTACTTAGGGGCCTATGGATAGAACCCTATAGATCCCTTCCTTTAGGGATCCTTTTAAGGAGCCTTACTTACAAAGTGTCCCAGGGGCTTCCCACGGCGCTTCTCCACGCGATGCTCGGATCGCAAAGCTTCCAGTCGCTCCTGAACGTCAAAATGGGCTTGGGGTTTAGAAACCCTAAAATCTCAAGTCTTTAGGGTTTAGTGTTGAGGGTCTAGTGTTTAGGAAGCTCCTATGAGCCTACAAACCTATAAAGGCTCTGCGAACCCTTATTGCGCAGCCAGTTTATATAATTTGGTTTTAGGTTTAATCAAGAGTTCGTGGGCCTACAGGGCCTTTCGCCCAGGGAGCTTGTGGCACGGGAGGGGCTTTACTGGACCTTCGTGGATGATGTATGACAAGGTTCTCAAGCACACGATTCAAGTCAAAGGTTTCGAGACTTGCGTCCAGAGTTTGGAGAGGTTGAGTTTGTTTGTAACAATCACCTTGTGACATATATATATAATATTAGATTACTATATTATTATATATACAAAGTTTAGGATGGCTTAAGGCCACGGGTTCCATGTACCGAAACGTTCCCTACGCGACAAAGTACAGAATCCACGGCCTATAGTGCAAAGTACTTTGCTCCTGATCCCTTGAACCTCGCACTAGCATCATCACTGTTGCTACGGCTTCTATTATCTTTGTTGCTTTTAATATCAGTGCTAGTGTTATTATTATCATTACGAAGCCTGGGGAGCAGTGGGTAATGGGGTGTGCCCATCAACAAAGGTGGGGCCACCAAACCAGGCTTTAAACTCTGATTCGGAAAGCAAACTACTGTAATTGAGTCTGCTGGACCCAAAACAAAACACAACATGTTCCACAATCCTGTTTGCTTACAGTACACTGCGGCAATAACAAGCATGAAGTATGACTCTTAAGGAACATCCGAAAGAATACCTCCCCCCAGCTCGAAGCCGCTGAACCCGAACTTGCACACACCAAAATTCGGAAACCTTGAACCCGAAATCCACCGCAAAACCGCTAGACAACCATTGCCGAACCCCTGAACCCTGAACCCACCATGTTTCAAAAGACACCCCACACGCCATCGGCGGCCACCTGGTGCGCCTCTTCCTCTTGTCGGAGAAGCTCTTCGAGAGCAAAGACCTGTCAGTTCCTTTGTTTCAGTTCTTGCCTTCGGTTATATGTGGGTAGTTCTCCAAATGAGGGTCCCTTTCTATGGTCTATTTTTAATACGGGTGCCTTAGCATGTTGATGACCTAAGACGGGGCCCTAACTTGCAGAACTATCCATGTACTAGTAAGGCTCTTTCGGGGTTCTACAAGGGTCTTTGCTTGCGGTTGTAGTCTACTACAGCTTGGTACAATACTTGTTCAGGGTTTATAAGGCTCAGAGTTTAAGCTCTAAGTTTGTGTGCAGCGCTTCAAGAAGGCCTGTCTTAGACTGTAAGGGCCTGTATCACCATGCCTTAAGGACTCGAGCCGGCTTTGGGAACTAGTCGCGGTAGTAGCAGCAGTAGTAGTACGAGCGGTGCTTGTAAACGGTAGTCGTCGTCCTCGTTCTAGCAGCAGTGGTCGGAGTGGGAGTAGGAGCAGGAGTAATTGGGAGTAGGAGCAGGCGGAGGATTCGGAGTTTTCGGAATCACAGTCATAGTTTGTGAAGGTTTTCTTGCAGTCCGACCCCTCAGATGCCCGTTGTGCTTTTTGTACTTTGGGGAATGATCCGTTTGGGGGAACTATGTTAGGTAAAAAATCCTGCTGGTTGGGATCTGTAAGACCCGAGACTAACTCCTAAATACTATAGCCCTTGATTCAGGCTTGAAACTCAACTTCGCTATCCGGCCTAAGCATCCCAGGGCACACAGCACTGTCGTGACCCACAAACCCCCAAACTTGAGGCCTTAGGCATTAAAACCTTGCGAAAGACCTGAGCTAAGCCGACACCCGTCGCATCAGTTAATTCCTCACGCACTATACCCATAGGCCCCTAAGTAGTTCCTTTTTGGGATTACCTTATAGGATTTTCAAATAAAAACCATAAAGAGGAACCACTTAGGGGCCTATGGGTATAATATACCCCTAAGCCCCTAAACCCTAAACCCCTAAACCCCAAACCCTACACCCTACACTCCCCTCGAAACTTTGAAGCCGGAATCCTGAAGCCCAAGCTTTGAACGCTGAAAAAAGCGCGTGAAACACTTAGTGCCCGGAAACAGAAACTTGAAACTTCAACTCAGATCTTGTAGGGTTTATAGGGTTTATAGTAGGGGTTAGGGGTTTAGGGTTTCGGGCTTAGGGCTTATAAAAAACTAACGAAAGTTTCGCCTGTAGCACCAGGCCCTCATCCTGCCTTTTCCATCGTCGCCCTCGTCTGCCTCCCGAGCTCCTCAAGAAAAAGAATACAGGAACTGGACAAGGCCTCTTTTTGTGGGTGCATGCGTTTAGTGTTTAGGGACAAGGCCTCTTCCCAAAGGCTCCATGTACCTTTCTAGTAGCTACTTAGGCCTTAAAGGGGTCCCTTTGTAGGTACTTTAAGGCCTAAGTATCTACTATGAAGGTACATGGAGCCTTTGGGCTTGTTGTGGGTGCATGCGTTGAGGGTTTGTAGGGGTTTATGTAGGGTTGAGTTGCGTGCCGAAACTATAGAAGCATAGGATCTAAGCAACTTACGCGTTGCAGACATGGGCGTTTAGAGAGCGTCGTGGATCGAGCCAGAAGTCACGATGTACTTTATTTCAGAGGCTGCCGGGTGGAGGCATCTTCCAATTCCACCACCGTGTAAACCTTCAGTTCCAGAACCTGCAAACATAAGGCACACAGGGTTTAGGGTTTAGGGGTCAGGCGATTGAACTGAAAGAGTTCAGGGCATCTCGTTTAGGATATAGGGGGCATCCGATGACGGATGTGCTACAACACGCCCTCCCCGTACCTTACCTCAAAAGAGACTGGGAAAGCAGACAACCAGCAGCAGTGGCAGTATCATTCTCGAGATTCAAGGTCAGCATTGAAATTCCGACTTCGTAACGACACTACGAAACACGACCAAGACGATGTAGACCGAAACAACCAGCACATCGAAAACACTCTGACAGCAACGATGAGACCATTCACATGTACTGAGCGACGAAACTGACGAAACAATCCTAAATCTCATAAGCGGAAAACCGTAAAACACAAAAACAGAACAAATAAAACACAACAACTGAACCGTAGAAAAGACCCAAGGCAAGCACCCATCTCCGACACATTGTGTTCACAGTGTGCTGCAAGGCCACGGCTAAAGCTTCAAGCCTCTAGAGCTAGACCTAGTGTTTCTTGTCTATAAGGTCGAAGGCCTTGGAACTTAGGGAGTTAAGGGTTCCGGGCTTCGAGGTCTAAAGTATGGTGTCTAGGGTGTAGACCGTACCCTTGACACGTCGGAGTAGGAGATGAGCTTGACTCAGTTCTGCTTGTTGTACGCATGCTAGGGAGTTCATGAATTTAAAGGCTCGGGCCACAAGATACGCCCTGTCAATAAACATGAGAGCAAACATCCTTCTAGCAGATTCTGACAAAAATCCCCCCCCCCAAAAAAAAAAAGTACTGTTTGGGCCGAATCTATATTCTCTGCTAATAGTCTTGTACTGTATATTGATGTACAGGAGAGGGTTTCTCAAGATTTCTGGTCAGTTTCAAACGCTGCTATCCCAACGGCGACGTATTCTGGCAGCTACAAACCTGAACCCTAAGCCCTATGGCCGCCCCCCTAAACCCTAAACCCTGAACCCTACAACCCCTAAACCCAAAGTCCCCTAAACCCTGAGTCCCGGACCTCGAGGACGCCACGCGGAGCCCCGCAAGCGGCCGCGATGAGCGACCGGGCGTCTGAAGGCGAAACGCAGCCTGAAAACATTGTGGAAAGCCCCCCTAAGCCCAAGCCCTGATCCCAGGGTTTAGGGCTTAGGATTCAGGGTGTAAGGTTTAAGGTCTAGGGTTCAGGGTTTAGGGCCCTGATCCTAAGCCCAGAACTTTTAGGCGGCTCTCGCGTGGTATTGTTGACATGTTGTCCCGGTGCTTGAAATGGCTGGGGTCTGGCGTTCAATCATGGCTCATTGGGCGGTGGAAAACACTAAATCACTAATAACTCTATGGGATCATACTATCCCAAGGCGTGCAAAGTGTATACTCATTCAGCTATACTCAGATGCAGACTGCGTCCTGCTACTTATACCCCTGATTCTGCGTGATGCAGTTGACACCACGAGCCTCTCTCCGACCGCATGAGTTCCGAGCGCAGGAGTCACGAATCCACAACCGCAGTGAAAGGGCTTAGCGTTTAGGGTTTAGGGTGTAGGGTTAGGGCCTCGTCCGAAAAAACAGCTACCCCGAAGGAGACATCCCTCGCCCTTGCGTCGCCAGTGTCAGTGCTCCGCAGATTGCCAAACCGCAACATGTACACAAGCCTCCCGGATGAAGAAGGCGATGCCTCTTTGCGCAGATGTAACAAAAAGCTTCACACCAAACAAACTCATACGTCGATACTTCCTCAAAGAGCCTTAGGACCTACTGGTCTGCCGTCGAATTTAGTCCGTTCCTTTCCCCGAACCGCCTCTCCATAATTAGACCGTGGTGGTCTAAATCCTCCATGTGTAGGATTTGAATCATCGGTCCGTACCTGCATACAGCTCCGTATATCGTCATGAGCCTGCGTGCCGAGTCCCCTCGTGGTCCAGGAACCTGCCCTACTTTTTCAACATTGGGTCCCGTAGTGTGCCCAAAGCGAAATCTCCAAACAAACCCTAGATCCTGATCCCCCCTCAAAAGAAATGCACACCCAATCAGAAAATTCAATGCTTGGGGCGGAAACTCCTCAAACAAAACTGAAGGATTGCGGGGTGTAGGGTGGTAAATCCCGGTATTCAAGGTCCAGGTTGCACCCTAAGCCCTAAACCGGAGTTAGAATTCAGGATTTGGGGTCGGGCTCGGGGCTTTGGAAACCGAAACCTTTGAGGGATGCGAGTCTGAGCTTTGAATACCGTAGACCAATCTAAGGACTAAACCCTAAACCCTAACCCGGGGTTTAGGGGCTTGGGGTTTAGGGTCTAGACGGGCATCTTACATTCCCCCTCGGATCCTTTACCTCAGCCCAGGGGTTCGTTTAGGAGTGTCGGGTTCCGTTTATTCAGACATCTTCTGGGGTAGATTATGATACTATTGTCATAATGGGGACTATAAGTGGATTATATGTTGCGAATATGATCCCGACCCCTATATTACTTGCGTGAAAACATGCCAGTCAGCAGGATGGGTTGTGAGTTTATGGGATCTGGGGTTTGGGAGTTTAGGGTTTAGGGCTTCGGGTGTTTGGGACAATACTTTTGGTAGGCAATTCACTGCTCAATGAAGCAGCGACATGTTTCTGATTCATACTACCTCACCTGTAGGCCAAACGTCTGAACCCGCAAAGGTCAGATCCGAAACACCGAACGCCCAGGTACGCAATTGGTCCATACGCACTATCATTATGGAATTGGGCCCCGGAAGACCATCCAAGCACCGGACTTGAGGGACCTAATTCAAACCCTACACCCTAAACCCTAGTAATTCCAAGATAGTAGTTGCAAGTATGGACCATCTTGGTTAGTCAAGTTTTAATTTAAGATTCCGGATTTGTAGGGTCACGGTCAGGTGTTACTGTTACCCTTAACCGAGGAATACATTTTTAATTGTGTAGAAGGCTCCTTGCTATGATTCAATGTGCATTTCCTTGATTCAGCTGATTAAGCGGTAGGGTATCGGGATCTGTGGGCACCTCCATCCCTGAGCCTTACAAAAGCTTAGGGTTAGGGTTTGAATTTGTCCTGAAGGAAAATATTCAACAAGTACGAACTAAACAGGCAGCATCCCCCAAACCACAAGGAAATAATGTAGGGACTGCAATAGTTCCACTAGGGTTTGGGGAGTATAGTAACATGTAAATATGGCAAGGAACTGTCTGGAATGATGTGAGTAACCGTGTAGGCTGGCATAGAACTTGCGGGGTCATGGGACTTAGTGAGTATGGTTGTACCTTAATTGGTGTGATAAGCACAGTAACCCTAATGATAACCCTGCTGACTAGGCCTCCGATCTTTTAATTTAACTGGAGCTACATTAACCCGAAACCCTAAACCCTAAACGGGGTCGATCTGCGGCCGAACGCCTCGAAAAGCCCTGAGGCCCAGGCGACGGATGTCAAACAAGCGCCTCGGATTAGGGCTCCGCACAGTCCAAGCCCTCTACGTCAAAGGCCCCTAAGTCGTTCCTTTTTGGGATTACCTTATAGGATTTTAAATATGAACCACAAAAAGGAACTACTTAGGGGAATATGGGTAAACCCTAAACCCTACGTATACATACTTCGATCACGGTTTAGGGCTCAGGGGTTTAGGGTTACGGGGGGAGTAGGGTTCTCCTTACAGAACCCCCAAATAGAGGGTGTCTTTTTAGGGCTCCTTAGAGATTCATTGCCTGATGTAAGTTGTTAGGAAGGTGGCCCTCATCTACTCATTAGCCTGTATGCAGGGGTCACCAGCACAGTACCGATAGAAAGGAGGCCGGGGTCTTCATAAAGGGTTGCCTAAACCCCCCCCCAAAAGTAGGTAAAAATAATGACCCAAGACCCGTAAAAGGCTATTGTTCTACATATGTTTGGAGTCCAGGTAGGGTTTAGGGTTTAGGGGGGTTCTATGGTTTGACGTGTCAAGTTACGAGGCTAAGGCCGGAATCCTAATGCCGAAGGAATGACCCTAACCTATTATAACCTACTATATAGGGTACCAGAAATAGGGCCCTATATAGTAGCTTCCTGGAGGGTTAGGGTGATGCCTACTACTGCCGCTTCGGGGTTTAAGGTTCAAAGCCCCCGTGTGCCGGCGCCACTGCCCCAAAATCGGCTTGTTTTGGGCTGTGGGTGCCGCAATTCTCGCCTTCAGCTTCTCCTTCCTGAACCCCAAACCCCTAAACTCTATAAACCCAGGACCCAGATCCCTAAACTCTACACCCTAAACCCAGAACCCAAGACCCTGAACCCAAGAACCCAACACCCCTGAATCCTGAACCCAAAACCCTAAACCCAGAACCCTAAAGGCGAAAGGCCCTAAACCCTAACGGCTCGGTACCAGCCCACCCATCAGCTGCTGCTTGTCATGCCCACGTCCTTTTCCCGCACCTCCACATGCAGAGCTGGAGCCGGGCAGCTTTGGCATCGCCAGCGGGCCCACCATCACCTTCGTAATCTTCATCGGGCTCTTGGCAACCCCAGGGCTCTGCGTCATCCTTAAGTGGAACCTGACGACCTTGCGGAGCTTCATCCCCGGCAGCCTTTGCCTTTTCAGGCGTGCGTTTCGGCGATGGCACCAGAACACCCTTGGCCTTCGCCGCAAACATCTGCCTGGCTCAAACACAAGAGAGTTCTTCGGTGCCGGAGGACCACCTGACGGGGCATACACCAGCGGCCCTGTCTTCTTCCTCTTCTTATCGCTCTTCGCCGTGGCACACGTACGAGGGCGCTAGCGAACAACATCCATGGTGTACAATGTACCCTAATCCCATCGTTTATAATGAGGTTTAAGGATGTACCGTATATCCCTTATTCCTGACTGTACGCATTATTGCAGGATCCTGTCCATCAGCCGTAGTACACCAAAGGCACGATAGATCCGCAATCCTAAACCCGAAGCCCTAAAGCCCAAACCGTAAACTCTCAACCCTGAACCCTAAAACCTAATGCCTACTCATAGGCCTAAGTAGTTCCTTTTTAGGATTACCTTATAGGATTCTAAATATGAACCTACTTAGGGGCCTATATGGGTAAACCCTGACGCCTATACCAGAGGCCAAAGATGTTCAAAGTAATCCTTGAAGCACGTACACCCTTTTCGTAACCGTTAAAGAACCCTCAGAACCCCTTAGCATCAAAATAGCCCAAAGGCCTTAGATAATAGAGTCTTTGGGCCCGATAGCCTTAAAATATGAGTCCTCGGAGGGTAAGGTGAACCCTAAACCTTAAACCCTCAGAACCGTTGCAGATCAAAGCCGCCCCTGTGGCAGCTCGTGGAGCCATTCGAACTGCTGCGCCACGTGGCCAGCGGGCATCGGCTGATGGACCTGGTTCAGGGTTCAGGGTTTAGGGTTTAAGGTTTAATAGGGTAAAAACCCCATACCAGGACCCTCCAAGTATCCTTTAATAGATCTCTTATGGTCCTTAGTAGTGGGTATTCGGTGCTATGTTAGAAGGGTGACCCTAAAACCCTAAACTTAGGCCCTAAACCTTAAACCGGGAAGGTCGGGTTTAGGCCTCATATAGCTAGGGTGTATTAGGAATCCTTTGAGGAAGAAGGAATCCTTTAGGGCTTAGGAATTCTCAGGAATCCTCAGAGCTTCTTCGGGTTTGGGATTTACGCGTACAGCTTGGGGCTACTTGGGGTTGGGTGGGGTCCAAAAGATGCTCCGGCTAAAAGGGCTGTAGGGCTTAGGGTTTAAGCCTGAAGGTTCATGGGGCTGTAGGGTTTAAGGTTGAGGCTTTGGGGTTTAAGGGAACTTAGGACGTACGGTCGATTCTAGACGGTGAGCCTTAGCTTGGATATGGAGTAACCTGATCTTGAAATTCGGAACCATCCCATCGCAAAGACCATCAATGAACGCAGAAAGGCTGGGTGTGGCCAAACACTCATAGGGACCCTTGAAGGGGGAGGAGGGTAGGGAACTATACATCGGTACTTTTGCCTCTTAGACCCTTATCAAATCCTTATTCCCCCCCTCAAAAAAAAGGAACCTTTAAAGGAACCTTCTGAGGAGCCAAAAAACTTTCGTGGCTGTCAGCATGTCCTACGGTTCATTAATGCTTTGCTATTAGATAATGGTCGTAATCATGATAATGCTACTGCTGGTGACAGTAAAAGCAGTAATACTAAGAATAAAGGTATTCAAATAATGTGAGAAAAAAACACCCTGCCCTGCCCTGCCCTGCCCTGCCCTGCCCTGCCCTGTGCCCTGCCTGTGCCTGTGCCGCCCTGCCTTCTCCCCTCTGCCCTCTGTGCTGGAAAGGAAGAAAAGCACGATGGCATGAGTGTAAGCCGAAATCCCAAAAAACAACAGTTTTGGGTGGTGTTTTTTAAATACAGCGTGGGGTGGGAAAGAAAGACTCGTCGCCGTGGTACGATGCACTCGGCAACCTTGTCGCAAGATACTATCGCCTACGCGTTATTCAGCACAGCAAGCCCTAAACCCTAAACCCTATTAAACCCTAAACCCCTAAACGCTAGCCCTGAAACCTATAAACTCCTCAAGCTCAAGCACTCGGGCCTTCGGGGGGCCTGCGCGCATCTCTGAGGATCCAGACCTGTCACTGTTCTAGTAGATCATGAAGGGCTTTAGGGTGCTTAAGTGTTTAGGGGTTTAAGGTTTAGGGTAGGCCGCAGTAGGCCCTTTAACTCAGAATCGAATAAACGGTGGGGGTACACCCGAATATTATAGTTGTAGAAATTTGCCCTGGTGACCATAGGGAGCATTAGTAGTCACTGTTCGAATACAAACCTCTGTAATAGGACTTGCCTGCGGCTCCAAGTCTCTACTATGTGGGTAAAAAGCCCTAGAAAGTAATGTTGGTGTTTATTCCCTCCGACTAAACCCTAAACCCTTTAAAAGAACCGTAGACTCAGTCCAAAGCCCCAAGCCCTCCCACAAACCCTGAACCTGAAACCTTAATCCGTGAGGGCTTAGGGCTTAGGGTCTCCCTTTTAAAAGCCCTAAACCTGGAGCCCGCGCAGGTACAGCGAGTCCCCATCCTGCGCCCGAAACCAGAACTTAAACGTAGGGTTTGCTTGCAGGATCATGGGACCTAGCAAGGACCGCTTTAATAGTGCCTTAACTGGAGTTCTGATTCCTAATAGAAGTGCAGCTACCGTAAGCCCCATGATGCTGTAAGTAGGGTCCATAGGGTTTAGGGTTTCCGAACACAGCACTGACATGTAGGGGAATTCTGGAAGAGGGTGCTGGTGTCTGATATAATTGATATAATGTAGAAAAATATTATAGGGTCATACTGTTGATGATAAAAATCCTAAGTTAAGGACCCTAAACTATGGCAACTATGGTATATTCCTTATATTATGGGTAATGCAGGATTTTTATCATGAACCGTATGATAAGGCCCAGCAGGGAAGGCTGGTATCAATCGTTTCCAACCACCTAGGGACCCTTTAGTAGTTAGGGCCCCAAATTTTGATAAAACCCCCTCAACTCTCCGCACCTTGTCGCGAGGGGCTCCGCACTCTCCTGGCTTCTGTTGGGAGTTGACCTGCGCAGACGCCAAAACTCTGAGAGTTTAGGATTTAGGGTTTAGGGTTCAGGATATTATAGGGTTTAGGATTTAGGGTTTAGGGTTTAGGGCGTAGTGTCCCGGAAGTCAGGAACCCTTTCTCTGTGCCGGCGCCCGACTGAAGGGGTTCACGGTTTACGGTTCAGGGAAGGACTGCTCGCCTTGAAGACCCATCACCGACACAAACTGCCCCGAAACTACTGCATACCTTGGACCCTTGAATAACCCTGGGATCTATACCAAGGCGACTGCAAGGAAAAAAACAACTGAACTCCTAGACCCCCATCTTGCTCGCTCATACAGCCCTTTCAGGAAGCCTCAAAGCCTTAAAGCAACCTTTAGCAGGGAAAGCCGGGAAAGCCATTAATTGCCAGCGCAAGGGGCTGTCTTTGCAGTCTCTCTTCCTTGGTGGGAGCATTGAGAGAGCAGAAAACCTAAGAGTCACAGAGCCTAAGCGCCCTACACCAGGGTCTGGGGCGTTAGGCTTTGGAGTTCAGGGTTTAGCATGCGGTTTAGGGGGCCGAGTTCGTGAATATACACCTAGATACGGTTGTTGCCACAACTGTCGTCATTGTAGATTCTTGCAAGTACCAGCACAACTAGGACGAACACTTTCATTGGCCAGCTTCTGCCCGAGACGGTTTCTGAGACATGAAAGCAAAACAGCAGCAAAACCAAACTCTCTCACAATTGTGGCTAGGGACACTCTGAGGTGCTGGACTTCCAATGCATAAAACGGTTCTCCCACATCCTTTGTTAAAAACTGAACTTCTAAACTATTAACCCTAAACCCTATTAAGCCAAAAACCGCGAAGCTCCCGAGCAAACACCACAGGACCCCATACTATCCACAATTACCCAGGTTCAGGGCTCGAGGTTCAACTAGGGTTTCCGGGTTGGGGTTTCGGGCTTAAGGGTTCAGCTACCTGGTGCTACCTGGCAGTGGAAATGTCTTAACCCGTCGAAAGGGCTGGGCCCCGAAAGACACGTGAACATGAGGGTTTACGGCTTCCTATAGCAGCGAACCTAGAAACTCGGATGGGGTTCAGGGAATGTCCAACTATAGCTACAGAGAAACTCTACGGGGACGGTTATGACTCAGATACGCCGCAAATTCCGATTCCAAATGATCGATAAGCCCCATGCTGTGGAAGTGCGTTGAAACTCAACAGATCTGGAGAGAACAAGGCTCAATTAGGACTTAGGTTTCAGGGACCCTAAACCCAAAACCCTAAACAGTTTGTAAAGGTGGCAGTTAGGGTTTCCCGCTCAGGGTTTATTGCGTGTGTTGGGACACTGTGGCCTTTGAATGGGGAAGTCTTACATAGGGTGAAGTTCTTGAAACCCTAGACCCTGGACTCTAAATCCTAAATCACACCGTAAGCCGCTGTGGATCCAACTTCCGAATTTGACACTGTTTAAGGGTTTAGGGTTACGGTTTCCTCAGACCTAGTTTTAATTACGTCCGGAATCTTCAAACTACCATCGCAAATGGGGAGGTGGCCCCCCGGAATTAAGCCTTTCCCGGGCAGCAACCAAATACTTCCAGCATTGAATTACATCATATAGTTTCTGGACACCGCGGTATCCCTCAATACTGCTTTCAACATCCTATGAAAGGAGACTGCACTGAATGAGTTCACACTCTCAAAGGATGCTGCGGTTGTCATGCTCGCCTGCATGATCTGAATCTGCAAACGGCCGTAGATTGCACTTATCAATGTTGTCACCAACAAACCCAGACATCTTGTAGTCAAGGGTGCTTTGAACATAGCACATCAGGCGGTGCAGGGCTTTGTCGCAGTCAACAGACCACTTGGTGACTCTTGCAGCCAATCCTTGAACAGCCTTCAGCAAGTCGAATCTTGCCATTCTAGCTGCGAATAGAAGCTTCATGAGAACATGGCTCGCAATCGGAGCGAGCTTGCCTTTTGTTTCTGTTTCAGCTTCCACCGGGCGAGCAATCTTGTCATCATAGAACGGAGTCGCAACCTTCTTGAGATAGTGGAACTCAGGTCCAGCAAGCTCTTCATACCGATCACTGGCTTGTTGAAGGAACGAGCTCATATCGTAGATGACTTGCCTACATTCCAGTTCTATACGGGATGATATGACACCCCAAAGTGTAGAGTCTACTCATCTGTTGCAGTAGCAAATCCTGACATCCGAAGCCCTGGGCCATGCCTAAGGAGAGTTCGCGTCTGAAGCCCTCATCTCAACACCAACAGGGGTATAAGGAAGTGACCCCCCAAACCGTAAACCCGAAAACCCTAAACCCCAAACCCCATCAACCCTCGGTACCACCAGATGAGGCACCATGTCGCGCAGCTCTGCGCGTTTCTGGTGCAGCTCTTTCCTTGTGCTTCTTACATTCGTAAGAGCATGTCAGGGGCCCTGATGTTCGGGATCCTAGTGCTTACCCATAGGCCCCTAAGTAGTTCCTTTTTGGGATTACCTTATAGGAATCTAAATATACGCCATAAAAAGGAACTACTTAGGGCCCTATGGGCAGAGGCTTTAGCATGGGGTTTAGGGTGTATGGATAAGAGTGCCGATGTATGGGGAAGATTGGTTTCAGGCTCCTTGGAGTCCTCTTTTTCAGGGGTCCCGAAACCGTAGCGGAGTGTGAGGAGGGGGAGTCAATTATCGAGCTTAGTATAGGAGCCGAAATAATTAGCAGGGGCTCCTTAGTTATAGTTATAGTATAGAGATACTCCAAAAGCCTATTCTAATTAGTAAGGCCCCCATAGCACCCCTTTTGGTAGCCCTTATATAGAACCTTTTTACAGGAACCCTCTAAAAGGAACCCTATTCTAAGAATTAAGGCCTCTATATTATAGACCTTATTAAGGCCCCTATATTATATACCTTAAAGGAGGGGTAGCCCTTATGTAGGAACCCTTTGATGAGGGTTGAGGATTAGGACCTGGGGGGTTCAGGTCTCGTGTCGCGGGGTTAGGATTTCTGCAAGGAGAGCCTACTCGCCGGGGATGCAGGATTCTGGGTCTCAAAAATTATATGAGCTTCGGGCTTAGGGTTTAGAGGCTTATTTAGGTTTTAGGGTGTTATTTTTTTAGGGTTTAGGGTTTAGAGGTTTAGGATTTAAGCGCTTTGGGTTTAGTGCTCAAGTTCAGAGGCTTAGGATTTAAGCGCCCTGGCTTTAGGATTTAGAGGTTTGGGATTTAAGCGCTTTGGGTTTCGGGTTTAGGAAAATGTGTTCGAAGACCAACCTAAGCAGGTTACACGCGGGGGAATAGAAGTGGGCTTAGGGTGTAGGGTTTACCCCTACCTAAAACCCCAAAGCAGGTAAAATAATGGCCCAAGACCCATAAGAGGCCATCATTCTACATATGTTTGGGGTCCAGGCAAACCCGAAACCCTAAACCAATTAATTTCAGGATGCTCTTCCATTCTATCGCCTGCTTACGAAGCCTATCCGATCCCTCAGCCACGCAACACTAAACCCCTAAACCTTCAATCCTAAACCCTAAACCCTGTGTTTGTTTGACGGATGGGAAAGATGCATGAGAGAAAGCCAACGAACGACAGGGACGAGCTGAGGGACTTCCCATGCGCCCCTCTTTCTTGCAACAGCCACGCCCCTCTTTCTTTCAGCAGCCCGGTCGTCGTCAAGGGTTGCGAGGCATTTCCTGCGACAGTCCTTTCAATGCCGAGAGCCGATAAAAGATGCGAGACTTGGAGGGCAGAGCAACAGATTTAATCTCAGACCTCAGTCTGTCCGGCTTCCCGGGCGTGCGGGTCAGAACATCGATCCTGCGCAGGCGGCCAGTTGGCAGTCATCCACCGCCGTTGGCCCTGGGACATCGGGTCCAGAAAGCGCCAGAGCGGAAGCGAGGCAGTACCCCTACTCTCTTAGTAAACCCCTCCAGCAAGAAGTCGAAGTTTCCCTGCCTCCCCTAAACCCTACGCCCTACACACCCTAAGCCGCGACCCGAGACCCTGAACCCCGAATCCTAAGCCCGTCTGGTAGGCCCTAAGCCCTCAGCTTCCATCGGCTTTGCCGTCGATGTCCATCCCAGAGAGCCTGCTACCCCTTAATTAAGGACTGTACCTCAAACCATAGTATTACGGACCCTACAATTTAGGGTATATTCCTTGGTAAAGGGGTATTGGGCTTTCTGGGATCTTCCTTGTGCTCCAACCCCTAAGTTAACCCCTCACTTTCACGGCTTAGAGGCCCCTGAAACTTAATGACCTCAGGGCCTCAATAATTAGAATAGGGTTTTGTTGAAGGGTTCCTTAAGAATTATTAGACTCATAGTATCGTACACCCCAAAACGCTATTCTAATTATTAAGGCCCCTTTATTAGGCTTCTTTTCGCTGTAGGAGTTGTTTTAGGGTTTAGGGCTCGTGTTTTGTAGAAGCTTAAAGCCCCGAAGCCATATGAGCACGAACCCTTAAGTGGGAACCTGATTCAGAAACTCTGGAATTCCTCTTATGGGTAGCTCGAAGTTAGGGTCCCATTTAGGGTCCTTGTCATAGGGTGCCGTGCTATGTTGGGGACCTATTACATAGAGAACTACCTATATGGATCCTGATATCTTCGGGCTATGGGGCCAGGGTATCTTAACCAGGTCCTACATTGCAAGAACTCTCAATCCTAAACCCAAAACCCTAAACGCCTAAGCCCTAAACTCTAAACCCCCAAATCCCTAAAACCCTATACCCCAAACCCCTAAACCCTAAACTAAACCCCTAAACCCGAAATCCCGAAACAAAAAACCGTGATGAAATCCTGAACCTATACCCTGCAGATGCTGGCCCAGCTGCTCTAGATCTCTTTGGCACTGCCGCTGTCGGGCCAGCAAGAGTCGATCCCCACCCTCGTTCGGGCGAAGCGCCTGCCGTGGGGTGGAGTCGCTTGAGGTTTGAGGTTTTAGGGTTTTGGGTTTAGGGGGTTTAGGGCTTGAGGTCTTGGGTTTAAGGGGCTGGGATATTCCAGGACCCCCGCCTCCAAGTGCCCTTTAATCGAGCCCTTATGGTCCTTAATAGTGGGTATTTAGGGTAAAATTAGAGGGTAGTTGGGGGGTCTAGGTTAGGGTTTATGGCTTCAGGAACTAGCCGCCATTCCAAGCTTGCCTGAAGCAGTCACACAAAAGTTGTGTTGGGTTGCAGTGGGTGTCTAACAAGGGCTTAAACAGATTTAAGGGTTTCAGCGAGGTGCGGGTTGGCCGGGCATTACATGCAAATCTGGGATTTAGGGTCAAATATCAAGGGTTGGGGTTGAGCATTTGCTTCAGGTTTGGGAGTCTACTTGGTCCCTACAAAACCTCCCTACAAAACCTACCTCTTTCAGCAAACTAGGCACAAGGGACAGGCACAGGCTGCGAAGGCCATGACCCTGAAGCAGTAGGTTCTGTCAACACCTCAGCAAAATCCTAAACCTTAAACGCTAAGCCGCTAAACCCTAAACCTTAAACCCTAAACCGCACAAAGTGTCTTGAACTCCCCTGCTACAGAAAGGTGCCGGATGTAGGGTTCTGCAGAACTTCAGTGAAATACTGTATGGCACGGTCCGTATAAGCCTCAAAAGACCAGAATTTGTGGCCTTTGCTGGTATGCTATAATAAATACGACTACATGCATACATACGTCTATGCATACACGTACTGCTATATTGATCTATATATTGCTATTCACTTCAGACCTCTGTAGAAGCCCTCGAGCTCGAAATAGGCCAGATGCACAAACAGCAAGTCCCTGGAGTCTTAGGGTAAAGGCAGAATACATGGCTTCGCATCCTGAGTTTACAAAACCCCAAAATCAAAGTCCCTAAGCGCCTATATGGGGGGGATACTTGACTTGCCCAAGCCATAACAGTAATTTCTACAATAGAAACCCTACTTTCTACCCTGAACCCCTAAACCCGTAAAAAAGTCCTAAGCACCTATATACGGGATACTTACCCAAACCATGATTAAAAAAAAACAAAAAAACAAATTCTACACTAGGAACCCTTCTTTCTATCCTAAACCCCTAAAACTCCCTAAAACCCGAACCCTCAACCCTGCTTTCTACTCTCCAGGTACTGAGGGCCCTTTTGCGAAACCATGGCCGTGCCTGCGCTGCTGCTTCCGGCGTCACTGGGGGCGACGTAGGAGGCTCCCTGATCCCAAAGAGTTCAGGGTTTACATGGGGCTTAGGCAGAGGCCCCTAAGTAATTCTGTTTTGGGATTACCTTATTGGATTGGCTTAGGCTTAAGGTTCAGGGTTTCGGGCTCAAGGGCTTTGGGCTCATTTAGGGGCTTAGGCTTAAGGTTTACCTCAGATACTGCGTGGGGCGAGGGTTTAGGCTACCCATAGGCCCCTTAGTAGTTCCTTTTTATGGTTAATGTTTAGAATCCTATAAGGTACTCCCAAAAAAGGAACTGCTTAGGGGCCTATGGGTAGGCTTAAGGTTTATCTAAACCCCCCCAAAAGTACATTAAAAAATGGCCCAAGACCCATAAAAGGCCATTATTCTACATGTGTTTGGGCTGTTTGGGGTCCAGGTAGGGTTTAGGGCTCAAGGTTTCGCTATAGGGTTTAGGGATTTGTGGGTTTACAGTGGGAGTTTTTGGGCAGAGACGATGGCTTCCCGAGCTATGTAAGCGGACGCGAACTATGCTGAAGGAGATGGCTGAACATCACCCTGTTACATAGTTGCCTAAATCTGCAAGACTATAAATCCCGAAAGTTCTAGATTAAAAAACCAAGCCCTAAAGTGAAAACCTAACACCCTAAACCAAAGTTGCTATGGGGCTCTGGACTACACGTTTACGTGGATGCTTTGGTTAATGGGGCTTCAGGTCTTGGGCAAAGCTGCCCCATCGGAGAAAACATATGGCCTCGATAATCAGACGAATATAGACCTAGAAGCTAATTAGCAATACTATAGGGATACTGCTCAAATTGACACAATATCATAATACCATCCAATACCGTGCCAATACCCTAGTCTAAGGACCAAGGCCCCTATATTCGTCACTTGGGTCTTCAGTGCGCAGGGCATCAAGATGAACATTAAGCACGGACCAAATTCTTGATCAAATTCAGCAAATTGTATTTCCCAGGCACACCCCCGCCGGCACGCATGTCTTCTGACCCAGTCTTCGGCAGTCTCGACGTGGGCGTCACTGCCGTCGTTGGTTCTCTGTCTTTCTCTCCCTCTCTGCGGTAGCCCTGCTCCGATACCAGCCAGAGCTGCATTCGGAGAAGCCGAGCTGTGAGCTAATCTGCTGTTTAGGGCTTCGGGTTTAAGGCTGTGGTCTGGATACTGGCTTTGGGGTCGCTCAGCACCGCAACATGTTGCACGCCTCAGCTTCAGCTGAACACTCTACATGAGCGAGCCCATGCCTGTGGCAAAATGCTCACCCAGATTGCCGGCACCGTTCATCTAGAATCCACTGCCCCGTTAACACGGCATTGAAGGGTCTCGAAACTGCGGTCTCGTGGTGTGGGCTATTGTCCTTTTATCACTTCAGGTCACCCGCATGGTGTGAAGTTTCGGATTTAAGGTTTCGAGTGCTCAAGAGGATCAGTTATTCTAAGTGCATGCTGGGGTTTACCCATAGGCCCCATAGTCGTTCCTTTTGGGGATTACCTTATGGGATTCTTTTTATAAACCCATAAAAAGGAAACTTGTTAGGGGCCCATGGGTACATCGAAAAACCTTATGCCTGAATCCTTATCAGTCCCTGTACCCCAAAACCTAGAAACTCCAACTTTAAAGCCCCATGCAAGCCCTAAGCCCAGAACCGAGCTTGCACAAGCCACGAAAGCGCTAAACCGGCACAGATTAGGCTTTAGGGTTTAGGGCTTAAGGTTCAGGGTTTAGGGTGCAGGCTTTAGGGCTTTAGTGTTTAGGGTTTAAGGTCTCTTAAGCCCTCAGGCCCACTGTTCGCAGGCAAGTCCATCCTATATGCATGAGCTTGAAAGTTGTAAGTATGGTGGCGACAGTTCGTGCAGATCTGACCCCAACCGTGTGAAAGGTCCCATGGTGCCAACATGCTTCTAAGCTCCATAAGCGTTCTAAGCCCTCGTATCGCTCTTCTAGCCCTCATAACATAAAGAACCCTAGGCCCTAAAACGCGAACCCTAGACTCTAAAGCCTAAACCCTGAACCCTAAGCCCTAAACCCCAAAACCTAAGAAGTAGACCCCTAAACCCTAAATCCTAAGCCGGAAGCTTTCCTGACACTGGGCCTCGTCTGTCGGGGTGCGGATGCAGAATCTTCCTAGAAGGACCGGAGTTAGAGTGTAGGGTTGGGGGGTCTAGGGTTTAGGGGTCCAGGGATTGGTCTGGGGTTTTAGGGTTTAGGGTTCAGGGGTTTAGGCTTCTGGCCTTTAAACCTTACCCTGTAGGGCTTCTATAAGGGCCCCAGCATTTTCTAAGGGGTGGGGGTTTAAAGTTTAGGGTGTAGGGATTCCGAAAGGGCCTACAGTCTCCATAGTAGTTCCTTTCTCTGGTTTGATCTAAGATTGTAATTCTTAGGACCCATTTAAGGCAATCCCAAAAAGGGAATTACAATGGATATTATAGGTAGGGTTGTGTGTTTGGGATTTTAGGTTGACGGTACCAGTATGGCAGTTCATACAGCTACTGCGTGGGGCGAGGGTTTAGGCTAGAGGGCTGGGGGTCTGGTGTCGAGTTTGACTTTCCACTTCCCAGAGACTCCAATATCCCTTAAATAAGGAATATGCCTTAAATCTTATTAGGGTTTCGATTTTTAATTTAAGGTATATTCCTTAATTAAGGGATATTGGAGTCTCTGGGTTCAGGGGGTGCAGGGAAAGATTCAAAGTCTTTTAAGGCCTCAGGGGGAGGGGGGTAAGGCCTCAGGGGGGGGGACCTTCGAGTCCAAACCTTATAAACCCTCTAAACCCTCGGCCATACGGTCGATGATATAAATCCTGCAGTATCCATAATTAATAAGGAATATAGACCATCGTTCCCATAGCTTAAGGTCCTTAATTAAGGCAATGCAGAATTTATATCATCAACAGTATGAACCCTAAGCCCTATTAGGCCCTATGGCTCCACTACGGGAAGGAAGCAGTGAGCTCAGGGTGCAGGGTGGCTATGAAGTGCTGGGCTCCGGTGCTTAAACCAATATAAACCCTAAAATTTCAATATGCGAATCCCGATGCCCTCAACCTAAGCCCCTAAACTCGCTTGTAGTGGGGGCTTAAGACATGCGGGGGTTTAGAGTTGAGGGGTTTAGGGTTGAGGGTTCAGGGTTGGGAGCTCAAGTCTTTCGAGAATCGACAAAGCACTGGCCAACCGGGGATCAGCTACCAGGAGAGGGATTGCAACTTGACAAGGTGGCAGCGCCAAGCCGTGAGTGAGCGGGAAAACGATGGCCGGGCCATTTGCTAAAAAAGGCCGAATTGGGCGCGTTTGGGCTTTGGACCGTTTTGGCCTGTTTTTGAAAATGTCACTCTCATTACCGCTTCCGTGTTGTCGCAAGCTCGTCTTTGCTCCACGGCTCGAGTCACGAAAGATCGAACAAACAATACTCCCAGCGCGTGGATTGGCAACGATAAAGCGGCATCTTCCAAATTAGGCCCGATTGGGCCCGTCCCTGCCCGAACTGTCCGACATGCTCACACCCCCATTTCTTACACTCTGTTTCCTAAACCCTAAACCCTAAACCCCTCAACCCTCAACCCTAAACCCTAAACCCTAAACCCCTAAACCCCTAAACCCCTAGACCCTCAACCGTAAACCCTTTTGGCAAAAGGAATGAGCCCTTCGAAGGCCTCGGTGGCAGAGTCGGAAAGGGAAAGGTCCACCAAGGAAGAGGAGACCTGGCTAAGGGCTCAGGGCGCTAGGGATTTAGGGGTTTATAGTCTTGTTTGTTGGGTTTAGGGTTTAGGGTTTAGGATTTGGGGGTTAGGGTTTAGGATTTAGGGGTTAGGATTTAAGGGTTTAGGGGTTTAGGGGCTTAGGGGTGTATACAGGGTTTATGACAGGGCTTAGGGCGCTAAGGGATTAGGGCTTTACGGTCTATAGGGTTTAGGGTTGAGGGGTTTCGTAGGGCTTTTTGGGCTTAGGGGGTTTAATGCAGTTAAAGGTTTCGGGATTTAAGAGGGATCAGGGTTTAGGGCTTTAGGGGTTTAAGATTTGGGGTTTAGGGTTTTCGGGTTTAGTCTTGTGCTGCCGAGCGTTTAGGGGTTTAGGGCTCAGGGTGTACAGGGCTCCTTTTGGGGGTTTCCTCTAGTCCTAAACAATGGCTCGCGTGGCAGGCGCTCCTTTTTTCCAGCAGTCGCCTCGAGGCACGCCCAGTCCTCTACTTTCGACCCTGAAACCGAAGTATCCGTTTTAGGCTTTATAGGGCTTAGGGTCCTCTACTTCGACCCAGTTATCTTATTAGCTTCTGAAATAACATAGGATCCTATACCAGAATATATGTTACTCACCAAAAAATGATACTACATTCTTGGGTCTAGGTAGAAAGGCACAGCAAATATGGGTTGCACAGGCCCATCAGGCGCACTGCGGGAGTTCTTTCTCGAGATCCACCTCTGCTTTCATGTAGAAGTCACCTGCCAAAACCCTAAACCCTAAACCCCTAAACCCTAAACTCCTAAACCCTAAACTCCCAAACCGTAAACTCCTAAACCCTAACCTTTCATGTAGAAGTCACCTGCGTCCGCGTCGGTTTTGAGACAAATGCTCCCGAAGCCTGGCTCCTCGGTTTAGGGCTTTAGGGGTTTAGGGTTCTTATTGGTTTAGGGTTTAGGGGTTTAGGGGTTAAGGGCTTTAGGGGTTTAGGGTTCTTATTGGTTTAGGGTTTAGGGGTTTAGGGGTTTAGGGTGTAGGGGTTTAGGGTTCTTATTAACCAAGAGGGTCCATGTCCAGTGGTTTTGTGGAATTAGGGTCCGCCCAAACCATGATTTGAATGATATTTTTGGGGGTCTACTTCCATACTGGTAGTATCTTCGGACCTTCTGGGTTATATAAGGAATCTAACTTAATAATGCCAGAAAAAGGGATCTGCAGGAAAGAACAGGCCTTCCTTTTTGAGATAATTCGAACTAAATTCCTCAACATCCTCAACAAGAACCTAGGCTCGATCGGCATGCATTTTCCACCTTCCGGTGCGGTGACATCCTCCACAGAAACCAGCTCGCCATTCCCGTTCTTCTTAAGATGCATCCAGTCCGATGTCGCCTTCCCGTCGTTGAATGTCCATGCAGGCCGCACACTTGCTTCGGTTACTGCTGCGGAAACTCCTGCTGGGACTCTTGACATGCTTGTGCCCACGCCGAGGTCTTCTTTGATGTCATCGAAAGCCCCTCCCAGCACGATATTTCCGGCTTTCGCAGACCTTGAAATGGCCGGCGGCTGCGACGACTCCTCTGCTGGGCGAGCGCGATGGTCCGGCTGCCGCTGATCCCGCTCCTATGGCGAATCCTGCTACCTTGCTGAAGACCGCCGTCGCGATTTTTGTGTTGAGGTACTCCTTGTTCCTGTTCCAAGCCATGGTTTTGTCCACCGGGCCTGTCCAACCATTCGGGTGCTCTGAGACTGGGCACAGCCTGGCCTTGTCGTCGGTTTTCACTTCGTCACCACCGTTGTCGTAGAAGAAGAGGAAGCCTCACTTCTCCAGGGACAATAGTTAGGGTTTAGGGTTTAGGGTTTATACAAACCCAAGAAGGTTAGGAACTATTTTTTAGAAGCCCAAACCCTACAGCCTGAACACCAAGCCCAAGTAACTCAGTAGGTAGCTCCTTTTGTAACCCTTTCAGAATCCCTCAAAGTGACCCTTGCGCAAAGGCTCCATATATACTACCACATACCGTTATGGAAGTAGGTCCCAAAAGACCATCCTTATAATTAATGGTTTTAGGGACCTACTTCTAGAATCGTAGAATATATGGAGCCGCTGGGTTATATAACCCAAACTCTACTACCAAGAAGCCGAGAGTGGATCCGCAAGTGAATCCACTGGTCCTAGGCACTGCGGTATCCCTCTAACAAAAACGCATTGGGGTTTGAAGATGGTTTCAAGGTATAGCAGAGCTCAGGGTTTAGGATTTGGGGGATGTTATAACATGATATAACTACAAAAAGCAGAAACAACAAGGCATACTGCGGAACACCCTAGTGTCCAGCAGCACTTCCCGGAATCGCCGCTTGCATGCCTGGGCTCTTCTTGAACAAATCAAACTCTTGGGGATCAGGCTCTAGGCTTTACCCATAGGCTCCCTAGTAGTTCCTTTTTGTGGTTTGTATTATAGGACCCTACAAGGTAATCCCAAAAAGGTACTACTATGGAGCCTATGGGTAGGGATATACTATACTAAACCACTCTAAGCCTGAAGATTATGTTCAAGAGCCGCACAGTTGCCACCAGAAAGGACGGTCTGGTCGAATTTGTTTCATGGCTTTGCACTTCCAGTCCTTCAAGGCTTAGAGCTTAGGGATTTTGAGGTTTAGGGATTTTTAGGGTTTCATGGTATTGCGCTTCCAGTCCTTTATGGGCAATAGCGTGTCGTCGGAGAAGCCTTTCGTCATCTGCGTTTTGCAGCAGCATACATCGTCGAAGAGAGCCTCCTTGGCCAGTACCGAGTCTGCAGCGGGTCGTACACACTCCACTGGAAATCCAAGTAGCACGAAGGCATACCAAGCCAACCGGGCAAAAGGCACCGTTAGGCACCTGAAACTCATCACTTCACCGGCGTCGGAACGTACTGGAATTTGCAGAAGACATGAATGTCTACTCTGAGAGAAGGCTTGATGCACGCGGCTTCGGTGCATGCCATGCCAAAACAAATCACCGATGACATCTCGCGACAGCTTTGCGGTCTCAACACAACGACCCGTGCGCAGAGCATCAGCCAAGAATTTCCCTCAGCGTCCATGTGCCCAGATATAATATACACTTAGCCCTCTTAAAGTAGTCCCGAAGTCAGCACTTTAGGGCCAACGTATGTACTGTGTGAGCACAGAGGCCGCTTTCGTTATCCCTAAACCCTTATGGTACCCTTAAGGGTTGCACTATATGAGCACAGGTGCCCTGAGGGTTTGTCCAATTTTTGATGACTCTGACAGGAGCCTGTTGCATAGACCCAAGAGAAACCTGGGAATAAAAAGGGTGCCCTTTTTGGTTTAAAGGACTTTAGAAGGGAACCTGAACACTAAAAAAGGGAATAAGGGCCTACTCTGGGTCCTAGTATTGCCTTAGGAAGAGATGCGAGTCAGAATCTGGGCCCTGGAGTGACCAAGCAG